CCATCTCCGAACCCGAACCAAGTTTGGACTAAACCGGACACTCTCTTCGAGACGGACGGACATCGCTAGATCGACTCCAAATGTCATGAAACAGAACAGAACAGAAAAAGAGACCAATGCTCTAAAAACCGTTATTTCGATGAGGCACGTTTAGGCCGTATCAAATGATATATACTCTCTATACCTATATACCTGAGGGTATAATCAAATTATATATACCCTCTCTAGGCATATGACTGAGGATATAATCTAGCCATATGGCTGAGGTTATAAAAAGAGATTCGTCTTCAATAGGGGTTTTAAAATACATCATTGGTATTGTTCTTTGAAAACGGCGCCATCTATGGGTCAGATGTCGGTAAAATATTTTTTGCAAGTGGATTAATATTAATTATTTGGCATACTTTTAGGCGAAAATTGCTAAAGAATAAGTAAATAGCAAAAAAAATTGAAAAAAAAAGAAAGATAAATGGGTGTTCATGTGATTTCCAAAAAAAAAAAAAGAAATCCCTCTTGGAAGGTCTTAAATAGGGATTTTACAATACACCATTGGTATTGTTCTTTACAAATGGCGCCATCTATGGGTCAGATGTCGGTTAAATATTAATATTAATCATTTGACATAATTTTAGGCGAAAAATGTTAAAGAATAGAATGATAGCAATTAATATAGATTTAATGGAATGTGAATTGAAAAAACGAAAGATGAATGGGTGTTCATGTGATTTCCAGAAAAAAAAAAGAAAATCCGCCTTAGAAGGGCATTGTTAATTTTTATTTTTAAAACGAGTTTTAAAACAATAATCTATAATAATAATTTATAAATAGCACCATCTATGGGTCAGGAAAAATCATTTTTTGGCATGATTTTAGGTGACAAATATTAAGGAGTATTTCAATAGGAATTTACATAGATTTTATGAATTAAAAAAAGGAGGTATTATTATAATTAGCTAAAAAAATTGGGTTTTTTAAAAAAACTCTTAAACTTTACTTGGCTTTAGAAACCTCAAATTTTTAAATTGTCTTTAAGAACAAATCTTAAAGAATATTCTAATTTTTCAAAAAAAAAAAAAAAAAAAAAAAAAAAAAAAAAGCCGCCTTAGAACGGTTTCGAAATACACCACTGGTATTGACAACTATAAATAGTGCCATCTATATGTAAGATGTCGGATAAAAAAAATTATATTTTGCCATAATTTTAAGGCGAAAAATGCGGAGAAATATTTCAGTTGTAATTGATATCTTTTTATGGTCTATGGATTGAAAAAGAGAGCGCAATTATTATTAGCACAAAAATATTGGGATTTTTAGGAAACTCTAAAGAATCCTTTGGCTTTACAAACTCTCGATTTCATGGCAATTTTAGTCAAGCAAAATGTGGATTTTTTTTTTAAGTAATTTGATTTTCAAAAAAAAAAAAATAAAATAAAAATAAATAAATAAGTAAAATAAATAAATTAATAAACAAACATAAAATCCGCCTTAGGAAGGCTCCATCTATGGATAAGATGTAGGAAAAAATTATTTTGTGGCATACTTTAAGCCGAAAAAATGCCAAGAAATATTTGTAAGGCATTTGATATTAAATTATGGAATGTGGATTGGAAACTGAAATGAGCTTGACATTTCTTTCATAATAATACAAAAAAAATATTAGAAAAATTTTTGTATCAAAAGGTGTAGAAGAAATATATCTGAATAACAAGTCGAATTGCTTAATACGTATTAAAGATACCCCTTAAATATCAAGTTTCGATATGTAACCCAACTGCATCGCTACTTATACATAATAGCGCCTAAAAGTATTGCAATAAAAAATCACATGGGAAATTAGGGGAAAAAATGGAACACTTTAAGTATAGATGGCGCTGGTTATAATAAATATTTTAAATTGCTTGGGCGCCGGCTTGCGTAATTAATGCCAGGGTATCGAGTTTTAATATTTAACCACCAATATACAATTTAAAAACTTTCAGTATAGATGGCGCTGGTTATAAAAAAATATTATAAAATCTTTGAATGACAAATTTAGTATAACCACCATACTATGGTGGATGGTATAAAAAGTAACAATCGAATTGACGTATAGATGGCGTTGGTCACAACAAACATAAATATATAAAATAAAATTGTATAAAAGTATAAAATAAAATTGCCTATCTTATCATCCCCTTGAGTATGTTGACCCGAACAAAAACTTTATAGAATTATTATTGTCAAAATTTGAATTTTTTTTTTTGAATGAAATTTAAAAAAAAAATATTTATTTTGTATTCCAGATTGCTTGGGCGCCAGTTTCTGCTATCAAATCATATTTAATGAAAAAATATAGTTTTTTAAATTTGTTTTTTTTTTCAAAGCATTTTATTTAGTTTTTTTTTTAAGAGGACTTACATTTACTTTCCTCCACCACCACTGCCACCATGAAGTGATTGGAATTTAAAAAATAAATATTTTTTGAGCTCTAAATCGCTTGGGCGCCATCTGCCCTTGGCGAATCACATTCTCCAATTTGTGTTTCACCCAAAATTATTAGAAAATATTACAAATCCTATTGATAGTCGAATTTAAGTATAGATGGCGTTGGTCATAATTAAAATAAGTTGTGGAATAAAATTGTCGTTCGTATCGTCCTCTTGTGTATATTGACCCAAAAAAATGTGTAGAAACTTGATTGACAATATTTGAAATTGACAATATTTTGAAACAAATTTGAAACCAATTGTTTTTTTTTTTGCATTCGAAATTGCTTGGGCGGCACTTTCTGCTTCATTTTTTTATTTTTCAAAGCTTTTTATTTATTTTTTAAAAGGAGTTAGACTCACTTTCCTCCTCCACAGCCCCCTTCAAGTGATTGCAATTTAAAAAATATATGTGTGTTTTGAGCTCTAAATCGCTTTGTCGCCATCTGTCTTTGGTGGATCATATTCACTTGATTGTATTGCACTCGAATTGAAGTATAGATGGCGTTGGTCATAATTGGCAACATTTGAATAAAATTTTAATGAATTTTTTAAAACAAATATTTCATTTTTATATTCGAAATTGCTTGGGCGCCACTTTTTGCTATCAAATCATATTCAATGAAAAAAACATTTCTTATATTTTTTTCAAAGCATTTTATTTAGTTTTTTTTCAAGAGGTTTTAAATTCGCTTTCCTTTGAGCTCTATATCACTTGGGCGCCATCTGCCCTTGGCGGATCATATTCACTATTTTGTGTTTCGTTTAATTGAAGTATAGATGCCGTTGGTCATAATTGGAAATATTTGAATTAATTTAGAATGCAATTTTTAAAACAAATATTTCATTTTTATATTCGAAATTGCTTGGGCGCCACTTTTCGCTATAAAATCAAATTCAATGAAAAAAACATTTTTTTTATTTTTTTTCAAGGCATTTTATTTAGTTTTTCAAGAGGAATTAATGTAAAAACCTCCTCCTCCAATAACTCAGCCATCAAGTGATTGCAATTTAAAAAATATATGTATGTTATGAGCTCTAAATTGCTTGGGTGCCATCTGCCCTTGGCGGATCATATTCACAAAATTGTATCTCACTCGAATTGAAGTATAGATGGCGTTGGTCATAATTGGCAACATTTGAATTAATTTTGAATGAAATTTTTAAATCAAATATTTCATTTTTATTTTATTCGAAATAGCTTGGGCGCCACTTTTTGTTATGAAATCATTTTCAAAGAAAAAAACAATTTTTTATTTTTTTCATAGCATTTTATTTAGATTTTTTTTCAAGAGGTGTTAAATTCGCTTTCCTTTTGAGCTCTATATCACTTGGGCGCCATCTACCCTTGGCGGATCATATTCACTATTTAGTGTTTCGTCTAATTGAAGTATAGATGGCGTTGCTCATAATTGGAAATATTTGAATTAATTTTGAACGAAATTTTTAAAACAAATATTTCATTTTCATATTCGAAATTGCTTGGGCGCCACTTTTTGCTATCAAATCATATTCAAAGAAAAAAACATTTTTTTTATTTATTTTTTTAAAGCATTTTATTTAGATTTCTTCAAGAGGTGTTAAATTCGCTTTCCTTTTGAGCTCTAAATCACTTGGGCGTCATCTGCCCTTGGCGGATCACATTCACTAGTTTGTGTTTCTCCTAAAAGTGTGCAAAAAACATAAATCGTATTGATTATCAACCGTCGATTTGAAGTATAGATGGCGGTGGTGACCCAAAAAATGAAATAATGATTGGCAATTTTTTATTAACATTTTTAAGCAAATATTTAATTTATATACTCGAAATTGCTCGGGCGCCACTTTCTGCTATCAAATTATATTCAGTGAAAAAAAAAAATATTTTTTTATTTTTTTCAAGGCATTTTAATTAGGTTTTCAAGAGGAGTTAATGTAAAAACCTTCTCCTCCACCACCGCAGCCAGCAAGTGACTGCAATTCAAAAAGAATATAATATATATATATATATATATATATATATATATATATATATATATATATATATATATATATATATATATATATATATATATATATATATATATATATATATATATATATATATATATATATGTATATATATATATATATATATATATATATATATATATATATATATATATATATATATATATATATATATATATATATATATATATATATATATATATGTATATATATATATAAATATTTATTTATTTATATATATTATGAGCTTTAACTTGCTTGGGCGCCATCTGTCCTTGGTGTATCATATTCACGAATTAAAGAATAGATATTGTTGGTCATGATAGGTAGTATTTGAATTAATTTTTGAATTTAATTTTAATTTGTACAAAAAAATATTTCATTTTTATATTCGAAATTGCTTGGGCGCCACTTTTTGCTATCAAATCACATTCAACGAAAAAAAAAAATTCTTTTATTTTTTTTCAAAGGATTTTATTTAGTTTTTTTTTCAAGAGGTATTAAATTCACTTTCCTCCACCACCTCCGCCGCCACCACCTCCGCCGCCACCACCTCCGCCGCCACCACCTCCTCCGGCACCACCACCTCCGCCACCGCCTCCTCCACCACCAGGTCTGGGATTGGGATTACCTTTAAAATAAAAATTTTTAATTTTAGGAAATTCAATTCCATTTGATTTTTTTTATTAAATGTCCTTACCCGAGGCCACAGCAGCCAAGGCCAGGATAACAGCAATTAGAGCGTAAATTTTCATCTTTCTCACCAGCTTAACAATGCAACAAGGAATGTTAGTGGCTGGTTAAACAATTTAATTATTTATACAAAACAATTGTTATGGATTAACATGTTGTTGTTGGTGTTGTTGTTGTACTGAGACACGTGAGTGAGTTCTTAGGAAAAATAATGGCCATTTGAGAACAACAAATTAATTAAACAAATCACTTGTAAGTTGTCACTGGCACAAAAAGGGGAACTTTTTCTGTTCTTCTCTTCATTCGATATCTAACTATTCGAGATGAGGTGATAAAAGGTTTTTTACCCCAAGCTTGGGAAAAAATAATGAGACAGTGGGGAAAAGTAGGAAAAGAAAAAAAACTAAGGTCTTTTTCAGGTCTTCAAAAGGTCCTCTTGAAGAAAAGGTCCTCCTCTTTTTTATGGAAAGGAGAAACAAAAAATGAAAAAAAAAAAACGATAGCCTTCTATAGGACTTCAGAAGGTCCTCTCTATGTAAAGAACGCTTAGAGGGTCTTCAAGCCATTTAGGACTCTTGAAAAGTTTTTCAAGAATAGAAGGCCTTCAGACAGATGTCTAATCATTGGAGACAGTCAAAAGGCCTTTTTCCACAAAACGTCTTTCAAGAGGTCCTTTAGAAGGACTTCCATCCATTGAAAATCTCTAGGAAGTACTCCACATTTCGAAAATTTTATTTTTCAATTTTCCCTTCGCAGTGTTTTAAGAGGTCTCTCGGAAGGACAGTCATCTATTGAATACCTCTAGAAGGTCTTCCACAATTTGAAAATTTAATTTTTCGATTTTTCCGTCTCCAATTGACCTTTTTCCGCTGTGGTTAGAAGTGGAAAAAGGAATAGGACTTCAGGAGGTCCCCTTGGAGATTTTCTTTATATAAAGGACCTTCAGAGGGTCTACATGGCCGTTCAAGAGTCCTGAAAAGTTTTCCAAGCATGGAAGGTCTTCAAACAGGCTTTTAGTTATTAGAGACCTTCAAAAATCATTTTTCCACCAAAAGGCCTTTCAGGAGGACTAGGAGAAAGACTTATATCCACATCTTCCATATATAGAAAATTCTACTTTTCAATTTAGCCCTCGCAAAAATTGCGGTTTTCCACGATTTTTTCTCCAAGATTTTGGGAAATAATGAGAAAATATTGAAAAGTTGAAAAAGAAAAAAAAAAAACTATGGTCTTCTTCAGGTCTTGGAGAACTTTTTTATATAAAGAACCCTCAGAGGGTCTTCAAGTCATTTCGGACTCTTGAAAAACATGGAAAAAATCCATTTTGAAATCCACGTCCCTCTGGTCCTTGAAAAAAAATAATTTTTAAAAAATCCAAATCTCTGGTAGTCCTTGGAAAAATTATTCATTTAAAAATCCACGTCCTTGAAAAAAAATATTTCTTAAAAAATCCAAACCTCTGGTAGTCCTTGGAAAAATTATTCATTTAACAATCCACGTCCTTGAAAAAAATATTTCTTAAAAGATCCAAATCTCTGGTAGTCCTTGGAAAAATTATTCATTTAACAATCCACGTCCTTGAAAAAAATATTTCTTAAAAGATCCAAATCTCTGGTAGTCCTTGTAAAAATTATTCATTTAAAAATCCACGTCCTTTTGGTTCTTGGGAAAAAAATAATTTTAAAATCCACGTCCCTTTGGTCCTTGAAAAAAAAAAATAATTCTTAAAAAATCCAAATCTCTGGTAGTCCTTGTAAAAATTATTCATTTAAAAATCCACGTCCTTTTGGTCCTTGGGAAAAAAATATTTTTATTTCTTTGGTCCTTGGAAAAAATAATTCTTAAAAAATCCAAATCTCTGGTAGTCCTTGTAAAAATTATTCATTTAAAAATCCACGTCCTTTTGGTCCTTGGGAAAAAAATATTTTTATTTCTTTGGTCCTTGGAAAAAATAATTCTTAAAAAATTCAAGTCTCTGGAAGTCCTTGGAAAAATTATTCATTTAAAAATTCAAGTCTCTGGAAGTCCTTGTAAAAATTATTCATTTAAAAATCCATGTCCTTTTGGTCCTTGGAAAAATTATTCATTTAAAAATCCACGTCCATTTGGTCCTTGGAAAAATTATTCATTTAAAAATCTACATCCTTTTGGTCCTTGGAAAAATTATTCATTTAAAAATCCACGTCCTTTTCGTCCTTGGGGAAAAATAATTTCAAAATCCACGTTCCTTTAGTCCTTGGAAAAAATAATTCTTAAAAAATTCAAGTCTCTGGAAGTCCTTGGAAAAATTATTCATTTAAAAATTTACGTCCTGCCAGTCTTTAAAAAAGCAATATTCCATAAACCATTCACGTTTTGTTGGTCTTTCGAATGGAAAATATTTTTAAAAAATCCACTTCTTTTAGGTCCTTTAAAACATTTTTCTTTAAAAAATCCACATTTGTCCTGATCCTTGAAAAAATATTTTTTAAAAAATTCATGTCCTGAAAGTCCGTGAAAAATATTCTTTAAAAAATCCACGTTTGTCCTGATCCTTAAAAAATAATTTTTAAAAAATTCACGTCCTGAAAGTCCGTGAAAAATATTCTTTAAAAAATCCACGTTTGTCCTGATCCTTAAAAAATAATCTTTAAAAAATTCACGTTCTGAAAGTCCGTGAAAAATATTCTTTAAAAAATCCACGTTTGTCCTGATCCTTAAAAAATAATCTTTAAAAAATTCACGTCCTGAAAGTCCGTGAAAAATATTCTTTAAAAAATCCACGTTTGTCCTGATCCTTAAAAAATAATCTTTAAAAAATTCACGTTCTGAAAGTCCGTGAAAAATATTCTTTAAAAAATCCACGTTTGTCCTGATCCTTAAAAAATAATCTTTAAAAAATTCACGTCCTGAAAGTCCGTGAAAAATATTCTTTAAAAAATCCACGTTTGTCCTGATCCTTAAAAAATAATCTTTAAAAAATTCACGTTCTGAAAGTCCGTGAAAAATATTCTTTAAAAAATCCACGTTTGTCCTGATCCTTAAAAAATAATCTTTAAAAAATTCACGTCCTGAAAGTCCGTGAAAAATATTCTTTAAAAAATCCACGTCCTGAAAGTCCGTGAAAAATATTCTTTAAAAAATCCACGTTTCTGCTGGTCCTTGAAAAAATATTCTTTAAAAAATCCACGTCCTGAAAGTCCGTGAAAAATATTCTTTAAAAAATCCACGTTTCTGCTGGTCCTTGAAAAAATATTCTTTAAAAAATCCACGTTTCTGCTGGTCCTTGAAAAAATATTCTTTAAAAAATCCACGTTTCTGCTGGTCCTTGAAAAAATATTCTTTAAAAAATCCACGTTTCTGCTGGTCCTTGAAAAAATATTCTTTAAAAAATCCACGTCCTGAAAGTCCGTGAAAAATATTCTTTAAAAAATCCACGTTTCTGTTGGTCCTTGAAAAAATATTCTTTAAAAAATCCACGTTTCTGTTGGTCCTTGAAAAAATATTCTTTAAAAAATCCACGTTTCTGTTGGTCCTTGAAAAAATATTTTTTAAAAAATCCACGTTTGTCCTGATCCTTAAAAAAATGTTCTTTAAAAATCGACGTTTCTGTTGGTCCTTGAAAAAATATTCTTTAAAAAAATCCACGTTTCTGCTGGTCCTTGAAAAAATATTCTTTTAAAAATCCATGTTTCTGCTGGTGCTTGAAAAAATATTTTTTAAAAAATCCACGTTTCTGTTGGTTCTTGAAAAAATATTCTTTAAAAAATCCACGTTTCTGCTGGTCCTTGAAAAAATATTCTTTTAAAAATCCATGTTTCTGCTGGTGCTTGAAAAAATATTCTTTAAAAAATCCACGTTTCTGTTGGTCCTTGAAAAAAATATTCTTTAAAAAATCCACGTTTCTGCTGGTCCTTGAAAAAATATTCTTTAAAAAAATCCACGTTTCTGCTGGTCCTTGAAATAATATTTTTTAAAAAATCCACGTTTCTGTTGGTCCTTGAAAAAATATTCTTTAAAAAATCCACGTGCTGATAGTCTTTGCAAAATTATATCCAAGCATAGAAGACCTTCCGACGGGCCTCTAGATATAGGAGACCTTCAAACAGCCCTTTTCTACAAAATGCCTTTCAAAAGGTCCTTCAGAAGGACTTCCATCCATTGAATACCTCTAGAAGGGCTTCCATATTTATAAAATTTCGAACAATTTTTTCTTCCCAAATTTGGCTTCCAAATTTGGATAAGAATATCCTAAGCTTGGAAAATAAAGAGACAGTGGTAAAAAGTAGAAAAAAGAATGGTCTTTTTCAGGTCTTCAAAAGGTCCTCCTGCACATCTTATGTATATATAAGGGACCTTCAGAGGGTCTTCATGGGCGTTCAGGAGCCCTGAAAGGTTTTCCAAGCATAGAAGGCCTTTACACGGGCTTCTAGAAGTAGGAGACCTTCAAAGTGCCCTTTTCCACAAAGGTTCTTTCAAGAGGTCCCTAAGAAGGACTTTCATCCATTGAAAATCTCTAGAAGGTACTCCACATTCCGAAAAATTTATTTTTCAATTTACTCTTTCCAAAAATTGCAAAAAAAACGATGGTCTTAGTCAGGTCTTTAAAAGGTCCTCTCAATAATCTTGTATATATAAAGGACCTTTAGAGGGTCTTCTAGTTGTTCAGGAGTCTTGCAAATACTTCCAAATATAATAGTCCCTCAAACAAGCTTCTAGTGATGGAAGACTTTCCAAGGGTTCTTTGTTCAACGAAGGTCTCTCAGAAGGTCGTCCAGGCATTATACATACCTCTAAGAGGTCTTCTATATTTAGAAAACTTCGAGCAAAGGATCTTCAGAGGGTCTTCTAGTTGTTCAGGACTCTTGCAAAGTCTTCCAAATATAGTAGTCCTACAAACAGGCTTCTAGTGATGGAAGGCCCTTGGAAAGTCCTTTGTAGGTCTCTCAGAAGGACTTCCAGCCTTCCAACCTCTAATTCTACATTCAGAAAATTTCTAGCAACTTTTTCCTTCCCCAAATTGGCGTTTTCAAAGAGTTTTTACCCCAAGATTGGGAAAAACAGTAAAAGAAAAAACTATGGTTTTCTTTATATAAAGGACCTTTAGAGGGTCTTCAGGTCCTTTAGGACTCCCGAAAAATTTTCCAACCATAGAATCGTTTTCAGATGGACTTCTAGTTATTGGAAACCTT